ACCCACCGCATATGCCCTTAGCACAATCACCCATTCATCAGAGTTGCATGTGAAGCGTGGTGGTACCACAGGAGTAGATTCCATTTCTGCTAGTCTTTTATTTCCTAGTAGAAATATTTTTCCTGAGTTAGCCTAAAAGTATATACCTAGTGAGGAGATAGCTAACAGTTATTTAGAAGATTTAGATATAGAAGATTTAGTATTAGAAGAAAAAACTTACTCTTGGAGCTTAGAAGAGTTTAACCAAATTGTTAATTTAGAATTTTTTTTTGCAAAAATAGGAAAGTTGAGACAAAAACCAGTATACAAAAGAACATTAAACGATTTAGATGAAATAATAAGATTAGTTGAAAGATCATAAATTTTAGGAGAACATCCCATGCAATACTGGGAAAGAAGAAAAGTTTTAGCTAGCTTAGATATAAAAAATAAAGATTATAGGATTATATCAGCACAAATAGATCATACACCAGCAGATATAGAGGAATTTAGAATACAAATTAAAAAGTCATTAGATGTAGGAGTAATTTAACCCAGTAATAGTCCATATCGAAGTGCCGTATTTATGGTAAGAAACCATGCAGAGATAAAATGAGAGAAAGCTCAAATGGTTATAAATTACAAAAGGTTAAATGATAACGCAGAAGATGATAAGTATACTATTCCAGATAAGGACCAGCTTATAAATAGAATACAGACAGCCCGAATATTTAGTAAATTTGATTGCAAGTCAGGATTTTGGCAAATAAAAATAGATAAGGAAAACATACCTTGGACAAGCTTTTGTTACCCACACGGACACTATGAGTGGCTAGTTATGCCTTTTAGACTTAAAAATTTACCTTCCATATTTCAACGTAAGATGGATAGTATATTTAATAAATATAATTTCGTATTGGTATACATAGATGATAATATTAGTATTTAGCCTAGATAAAAATAGCCATATAAATCATTTATATGTAGTATTAGAAGAATTTATAACCAATGGAATAATAATTGGTAAAAGAAAAATGGTATTAAATAAACCTCATATAAAGTTTTTAGGAATGGAGTTAGAAGATGAAAAATAAGACTACAACCACACATAGTAAAGAAAATTTTAGACTATGTAAATAAATTAGAAGATACAAGACAACTTCAGTCATTTTTATGAATTCTAAATTATACACGAATGTACATTTCTAACCTTAGTAAGATAATATGACCATTATATAGCAAGACCACACCCACGGGAAAAAAGTATTTTAACTAACAAAATATAGCATTGGTAAGGAAAATTAAAGATATTTGCAGGAAGCTACCCGACTTACAACTTCCATTAATTAGAATATATAATCATAGAAACCAATGGAAACCAGCTAGGATGGGGAACAGTACTATTAGCTGAATTTGGTATATATGATAGTAAGAATAAAGAGCGTATTTGTAAATATAGTTTTGGCAAATTTAAAGAAAAAGATACAACTATGACTAGTTTAGAGTTTAAAATATTGGAAGTAGTATATGCAATAAATAAATTCAGATTATTTTTACAGAAACCTTTTACTTATAGAACTAATTGTGAGGTTACAGTCAAATTTCACAATAAACTTAATGAACGTAAACTTAGTAGCAGAAAATGGGAAAATTTTTTGGATTGTATAGTAGGACGAACACATGAAGTAGAATTTGAGCATATTAAAGGGAGTGATAATAAGTTAACAGATTGGCTAAGTAGGAAAATCTATTTAGAAAAAGAAAAAAATCAGTTTAATTTTTGTGCAGATAATGGAGAACAGCAAAACAATGAACTTTGGGGGATTTGATCTTCCAATCTATGAGGGCAGAGCCAAGTTCAAACCATTAACAGGAATCTTGCTAGACCAGGTTCAACAGTATCTTTTAGATAACCTTTGGAATAACCTTAACCACCCAACTAAACATTTGTCAGTCCTAAACTCTCTCAGTATATACTTTTCAAAAATCCAAAATAAACCTTTGTCTAAAAGTTTTTCTTTCTATGTCGTAGCTAAAGGAGCCAAACCTGGCATATACCATGACTGGATAGAAGTTGAACCTTTAGTCAAAAATTTTCCCTTACCCCAATTTAAAGGATTTTATGATTTTGAGTCAACCAGTACATATGCCCTCAGACAAATAGGAACCAGTTACGTTATTAGCCAAGCAGCTAAAGATTATCTAGACACATTGGGCAAGATGCAGTCATCTATTCTTGCTACAAGTGGAGTTCCAATCAGCCAGATAAAATGAAGTTGTTGTACTAACCCTCAGCCTAATACAAAATCACAAAATTCTCTTCAATTGTGCAGACATTGTGAAGGCCTTACCAAAAATTTCAAGAAAATCACGGATAAAGGAAAAAGAGTCAGTGAAAAGCTAGATCAGTTTCGAGACGAAGAAAAATAATTGAGAGCAACCATTCGAACCCTAACCAGCTAGCATAAACCAATAACTTCAGATAGATCACCCACTCTAGATCAAATCCAAGACATCAAACAACTCACTAGTGAGGAATTTGGTCGATTGAGTGCTAGAATGTATTTCTTCAGGCATTCTATCATTCAATCTTTTGTGAGAAAAGCCATGAATTTGAGGATATTAAGCCTTATATATATATATATATATATATATGTTTATACCCTAGCCAATGATAGTGAAAATAATGAGCTAGTTACAATACAACAGTTTCTCTAGGACCTTTCTATAGCAGGAGTTCAGTGCCCTGGTATAACATATCAATGGACTTATCTCTACAATGATGAAGAACAACCATTTATACAAGAAAGACCATGTAGAGAAAGGCTTGAATGTTTTGGAAGATGTCAGTGTAATCTCGACTTCGGAATCTGTCTTTGCCAGATAAATCGAGCCACTTTTAGCCACTAGAGATAGTAATTAAAGGCAAAACTCATCATCGAACAAAAACACAATTGTTAGATTACGGTTTTGTCTCTAGAATAATTTTTTCAAAACCAAATTAGACAGATAATTTTGGAAATAAACTTGCTCATTCAGTACTTTGTATATAATGGAAGAGCTTCATCCATTTGTTGAAGTTTTAATTGATAGCAAGCTACCAGAATGGAAAGGAATAAGGTTTATTCCCGCCAAGCATAAAATGTACTTCAAAGGAACTTCAACATTCCCAAGATACCTAGGACTTCTCTACAAAAGGCCTTGGCTATGCAAAAACTTTTTAATCAGCTTAATATATTAAGGAAATTTGCTAATAATCCTCTATTAGCTTATAATGGAAACTACGGGCATCTCGTTTGTGAGAATAAAATCTAGAAGATCTACTATAATCTAGGTATTCCAGGTTTCCCCTTCAACAAAGAAACCTTTGTCGATGAAAGTCAGTATCCGGACCATCAGTATAGTGTCTCCCATGAGTCACCAATACTTGAAGATGATGAACAATGGGAAGATGAACCAAATAATGGGGCAGATTTTTATAATCAACTTTCAACAGTAGATCTTTATGACCTTTTAGATAAAAATTTTGGGTAAAAAAAAAATTAAAAATAGAAAGAAAATAAATAAGAAGATTAACAAAGAAATATAAATAAAATAAATAAGAAGATTGCAAAAACTCACCTTTGGAGGAAGTAATGAATTTTTCTAATTACAAACTTTTTTCTTAACTCCCTCACGTTATGGAATATGTTTTTGAAATCCCAGCTAGAAAATTCAAAAATTTGGCTTTAATGTTGTTTTTGGATAGTTTTGCAATAAAGAGTCATATATTAGTGAAGAGGTTTTGAACATGAAGAGCGAAATATTAGTGAAGAGGTTGAGAATAAAATGATATGTAGAGATAGAAAGAGTGAGAGGGGTGTGTGTTCCGTTTTTTTTTTTTTTTCTTCCTTCTTGAACTTAATTTTTCTCTCCCTTCCATTCCAATCCCCTCACCCTTTTTTTAAAATCAACTTCATTCCTTTCCCCCGACAACAATCCAAGACCCTCCAACAACTCCTTTCTCCTTTTTGAAAAACAAAATTAAATCATTCCTTTCCCCCGACAACATACCAAGACCCTCCAACAACTCCTTTCTCCTTTTTGAAAAACAAAATTAAATCCTCTCCTTTTTCAAACTTCTCCTTTTCCTATCCAATATATATGTATATGATTTGAGTGGAGAAGGCGATCGCCGACCACTCTCTAAAATATCTAAAATATAATATTTATATCAATTTAAAAAGAAAAAAAATACCCAAAATATATACAAATACATAAAATTATGTAAAATTATAAAATACTAAATTAATAAAATATGTTTAAGTGGTCTAAAATAATTTAGCCAAAATATGTGAAGGTTGGGATTAAGTTTCAATCTGACTGCTGAGAAATTTGTAATATAACACATTCTAATTTCCATCATCGGGTATTCGGAAAAAAGTGCCCAAGTTTTAAGGCATGTCAAAATGGGGTGTCTACACTTTTCTGTAATGAATTTTTTAAACTATTGTTGAAAGTTGAAAATTAGTGACTTTTTGTGATAATTTTTTTAAACTATCGCTAAAACTTATAATTGATGGCATTTTTTTATAATAAAATTTTCAAACTGTTACTAAAAATTAATAATTAATGACCTTTTTTAATAATGTTTAATAAAAAATATCATTAATTATCATAAGACCTATTGAATAACAAATCCACATATAAAGACCTACACGTAAATTCTCATTTATTAAAATGATAATGAACCCTATTCAAGTTAGAGAATTTCACTCTAAACTTTGAAGCAACTATCCAAATAGTAGAAAAAGTCATTAACTTTTTCATGAATATATAAAGATGGCATATGTGATCATTATGCAATGGAAGAGCTTAAAATATTTTTATAACTTTTGCTCAACTCATTGACTACCATGTAGATATAGTGTAAGTTTTAAAATCTTGAACACAAAATTTGATCTAGAATTCAAAACTATATCTTACCTCCTGTCTCCTTTGTCTTCCTATTTTGAACCAGTAATCACCTCTGCCCCATGAAATAACTAAAGCGACTCATCATTATAAAAATGTTGTTTAGAATAAAGACATTAGGACAGGGAAGAATAGAGACCCATGTGCCAAATTTGTATGTCTAGGCACATATTATTTTACAACAAAATAGTATAACAACTCCACCAATAACCACATATGTGATCTTTTCTTGATCACTCATGAAGGCATTCTCTCATGTTGAACAATATGGAGTTGCGTTTACAAGTAGAGGGTTCTTTCTATGGATGGTAATACCGGTTGCTTCCTTCATGTCCAAATCTTTCTCCATTGATCCGTCGGGCAATGCAAACGCAAACTTGTGTACAACATTTGCTAATGCAAGCTCACTGACGTTCATAGCGAATAGGGTACCTGGGCAACCTCTCCGACCAGCACCGAAAGGAATCAATTCAAAGTCATTTCCTTTGACATCTATGGAATTATTCAAGAACCTTTCTGGCTGAAACTCATCTGGATCTTCCCATGAGAATGGATCTCTGCCAATCGCCCATGCATTGATAAGTACTTGTGTTCCAACTAAAATGTCATAGCCCATTACTTTAACATCCTGGGTTGATTCATGAGGAACCAATAATGGAAGTGGAGTATGCAATCGCAAACTCTCTTTGATTACAGCTTTCAAGTAGTACATTTTCTCTAAATCTTCTTCAGTTATGTTAAGCTTGCCTCTGGCTATTTCTTTCACCTCATTTTGCAATTTCTTCATGATTTTTGAGTGCCTTAAGAGTTCCGCCATTGTCCAATCTAAGGCTTTGTATATAGTATCAGTTCCAGCAGCAAACATGTCCTATGAAAAAATTAACAAAAATAGATAACTTAGTGATAAAGTCAACCGTGTTTGTCTAATTGAGTGGCTATTCTTGCCACAACGTATCCCCACACACAAAATTTTTCATATTTTGTACTTTAACTACTTAAACAATTTCATGAGTACAAATCTATCGACTTGAAGTAGTTTTATACAAATCAATACAAACTAATTATATCACCTTTTTTTTTTTTAGTAATCAAGGTAGAGTCAATGTAGATTAATAAGGGAATGTTTGTAAGAAGAACATTGTTATCTTTAATATTAGCTATATTGTTACCTTTAATAAGGGAATGTTTGTAATATTAGCTATATTGAGTTTTTAAAATAATTTGAATCACCTTTAAATTTATAACTATTAATCTTTAATATCAAAGTGAATGTTTCTTTGCCTATGCTATAATTTGATGTCATATAAAAAGAGAAGCTAAAACCAACTAAAATAACGAATTAAAATAATTTCTTAAACTATCTCTTTTCCCATAAAATTTGGTAGATAAACTTAAAGACGTGTAAAAAAGACGTGCAAAATGCGGTCTTTGAGGTATGCACAAAATAATTCCTTAATTCTTTTATCTCTCAAATGAAAGACGATCTCCATGTACTTCTTGGCAAAGTTGTTAATCACGTATTGGACAAAGTACTATTTTTTTCAATTGGTATGATAGCTATCGGTACCAGTATGTTTCTGGTATGATATTTGTATTAAAAACATTATCTAATAGCAAATAATTTAATCATATAATATATTTGAGCACATAATTTAAGGATTCAAAGTTGTATTGCATTGCTTTGTTTTCTTAGGGCTATAACGTATATGAAATAATATACTTGATATAATATATATAAGTAAAATAATAAATTTAAAAATTCATTTTACTTATGTACCATTCAATTCCATCAAAATTATATTGTTCAACCGATATTGTCTGATATTTATTGAATTAGCCGGAGTTCATAGAGAAATGAATCGGGATGGTATTGACCTATTTGTATTTTGTTTTCTCTTTGGTATAGTACATACTAGCCTGTACTGGCTGGTGTAGCACGAGATTGACAACTATGCTTCTTAGGGTGATTGCAGTGTTATGATAGTCATTTTCAGAAGTCACTTTTTTAGTTATTTTTTAAATTTTTAATTAAAATATGAGATGAAGAAAATTAATATATTCGAAAATAATAATATTTTATCAAAAAAAAAAAGTGTAGAAGTAGAGTGAAAGTGAAATAAGGCAAACTTTTTGTATCAGTTAAATTATTTTTATTTTTTGATTTTTTTAATATTATTTTAACCAAAATAACACATTTCCAAACGGATCTTAATACATATAAGTACTTTCATCATTGTGATATACCCTCGGTGAAACGCAATTAAAAAAACCATGGTTTGTTTGAGCAAAGATCTTTTAGAGTTTTTTTTTTCTAAAGTTTCTTAGAGTCGTGTATTGTGTAGTTGAGATTTAATGATAAGTCACATCAATTTTTCAGCATTAAATCTCAACCACACAATACATCACTTTAAGAAACTTTAAGAAAAAAAACACTCTAGAGAATCCTTGGTGGGTTTGTTTTGGTACATAAACTTAATTTAATTTAATGACAAGTCACATCAATTTTTCAACATTAAATCTTAATCACACAATACACCGCTTTAAGAAACTTTAGAAAAAAAAACACTCTAGAGGATCCTTGGTGGGTTTGTTTTGGTACATAAACTTATTTAATTTATTTGTTTAAAAAGCCAATTAATGGCGTTTATTAAAATTGTTAATTATCTTTTATTTGACATTTTTAGTTTACGTTGCCCCTAAAAAAATAGAGATTTTCTTAAATACAATTTGTACCTTTTTTTTAAAAAATTTATTTGAACCTTTAAGTATGGACAAAAAAGTTACATTGCTTTTGACCTAGCCTCGTTTGGCAACTAAATTTTTAAATTTTTTAGTCAAAAATTAAAAAGTTATTAAATTAGTCAAAAAGTCAACAACACATACTAAAAAGTCAAAGATCCTCTTTTCTCTTTACTTTTTGCACATCTTTTCGTAAAAAGTCAAAAAGTCATCCCAAACATACCAATTTTTTTAGCTCATATTTTAGCCAAATAGTCAAAAAATTACTAAATTAACATGTTCCCAAACGAGGCCTTATTCATAGCTTTTGAGCGTATTCTTGATGTTTGTGCAATAAAAAAATTAGGAACAATTACACACATAAAAAAAAAAATATATATATATATATATATATATGTCAAGATCTGACTTTTGTAAATAAATAATGAATTTTTAACTTTATTAATTTAAATCATAATCTTCTGATTTGTTTTTAATTTAAATTATTTGTCAATTTTCATTAAGTAAAATTTATCAGAAAAATATTTTAGGCATTTAACTTGATATGTATATATATAATGTCTAAAATATATTTTTCATTGAGTTTAATGATTAAAATAATAAAATTTTCATAAATTTTACTTAATAAAAATAGACAAAATTAAAAATTTATGATTTACTTTGTTACAAAGCTCAAATTCCGAGTTTTTTTTTTAATTATAATAAATTAAATAAGTTCAATTATATAATAAATTATCAAAAGTTGTATCAAACATGTTTACAAATTATTTTAATTCTTTTAAGTTAATAATGAGCCTGTTTGATACCGTTCATTGTAAGTTAAAATAAATAATCAAAAAATTAAAACTAATAGCACCCCTTTTGTAACTTCAAAATAATCATTTTTTTAATTTATTTAAAATACTTCTGTCTAATAAGTAAAAATTATACCAACCAATCTACAAAGACTCATAACATAAATAAAAGCAACTCAACTAGAATAGAACAAACAACCACAATCTAAAAAATTATAATCATAAAAATTAAGGATACCAAATGGAATCTTTGCAACAAGAGAAACTAAATAAAATTTTTATATTATGAGATTTGGAATCTTAAAATTTAATTTTAAAACAGAAAATCATATCTTAAGAATTTTAAATTCACATGTGACTTTTTTGAGCTTGGGATTTTATAAATCAATCCAAGAATTATCTTAAGTAATAAAGCAATGTTGAGACCCAACAACAAAAGAGCAACCAAAACAAAACCTCTTCTCCATATCCAAAAATAGTGATATAAAAACAGAACAAATCAGAATTTATAGAAATGCCAATTAATTAACAAATTCAAAAATATCTATTTAAATAATATTTAATTATAAAAATGTCATCACGGCATTATTTTTGTATAAATAAGATTTTCCAATATGAAATTAGGCAAGGAGTAAAAACCAATTAAAAAGAAAATAATTTACATACAGAAAGATTATATGAAAAAAAATATATATTTTTTGTACGAAAATTCTATTTTAATATCATTACTCATTAACTTCTTGTCAACAAAGCATAGAAATGAAAAAGAGAACACATGAGTGATGTATTTACCAAGATGACAGCTTTGATGTTATCTCTATCAAGAAGAGAGCCAGCCCCTTTATCTCTTTGAATTTCAAGCAAAACATCCACAAAGTCCTGTGGCCTTTCACCTTCATGACCACCACTCCCATTGCTCTTCCTTTCACTTTCTCTTTGATTTTGACTGATCATATGCTCTTCAACCATACCCTCTAGTAATTGGTCAATCTCTTTAGCAACTTTGTCCACTTTATCATCAAAGCCATTGATCCTATTCAACCAAGCAAGCCAGGGGATATAATCCTCTACATTAAAAGTACCAAGTACCTCCACAAGGGTTCCCAGCAACTCCATGAACTTCCTTCCCCCTTCCCCTCTATTGTACTTCGTCCCCAAAGCAACCCTACACACTATATTGTTTGTAAGAGACACGAACATTTCAGACAAATTCACCGGTGAAGAGGAAGAACAAGACTCTGTAATCTTCTCAATCATAAGGCGTGTCTCTTCTTCTCTCACGCTTTGAAACGATTGGACTCTCTTGTTGCTTAGAAGTTGAAGCACACTGATGCTTCTTATCTGCTTCCAATATTTTCCATAGGGAGAGAACGCCACATCCGTGGGGCCATAGAAAAGTCTTCTAGTAATGCTTGATTTAGGCCTGTTTGAGAAGATTAGGTCATGGGTTTTCAATACCTCACGAGCTGCAACTGCAGATGAGACAACGAGGACTGGGACACTGCCTAGGTGAAGAAGCATGAGAGGTCCATGTTTAAGGGCCATTGATTGGAGTGAGCGGTGAGGGTAGGAGCCAAGTTGGTGAAGGTTCCCAATAATTGGGAGCTTTGTGGGAGAAGGCGGTGGGTTTTTGTGGGCTATTTCTGGAGTGATAAAATTGGACAACCACTTGGTAAGGAAGAATAGCATGTAGAAGAACAAGGGAAGAAGAGAGAAGACTATGGGATTCCATAACAACATAATTGGTTCTTGCTTCAACATCTACAAAAGAAATCAATCCTGTGTGGTTTTTTCAGTTTGGAGGAGTGTATACCTATCTTCTTTTATGTCCTTATATACTATTTTTGAGCTTCGTCATCATTGTACTTTTTAGGCCACAAAACAAACAATAAAAATCTATGCAAGGTGGGGTAATTCAAAAATTATGCCCTTGGTTTGTGTTTCTTAAAATTTTTTGAGAAAAATTTTCTACAAATAAATTTTTAAAAGTAATCAAATCAAACAAATTTTTTCAAAAAAATTTTCCAAAACTTGTTTGGTTTACAAGTTTTCTAAACAAATATCTCTCTCATACACATCAAATCAATCATTTTTTTCCAAAACTCTTTCTCAAAATAATTTTCCAAAACATCTTTTGAAAAAAACCAAACCAAACAACTTTTCATACTTTTTATTTCTAAAACTCATCTCTCAAACTCAAACTAAACATACCCTATGTCATACAAGTATTGCCTCTGCTTTATTGATGCATCTTATCAATGTTTCATGTTCATTGCTTATTTTTATTAACAAAATTTTCATTTTTTTAATATATATATATATAATATTAATATGGCTACATGCATATTAGGAATACAAAATATGTACCAATCAGGTAATTTTTTTTAAATAAAAAAAATTAAAATTAGGTAATGAAATTCAATGAAAAATATGTACCAATCAGGTAATTTTTTTTAAATAAAAAAAATTAAAATTAGGTAATGAAATTCAATGATTTATAATCATAATAATGAAAATCAAATACAATATAAATTTTTTTTACAAAGAAACTTTCAAAGTGAGAGAAAACCTCAATTAAAGTATGGGTAATAAGACTCTTACGCAAGTGGGGAGATTGGAATTAATGACCTCCTAATAAGATGCGAGAGTTATGACCAATCGAGCCAACCCCGTTGGTTCTTGTGGGTACGTACCTAGACGTATAAATTTATTATTATTATTATTATTATTATTATTATTAAATATAGGCATTGAATAAATTATTATGTGTATTTTAAAAAAATTTCCAAAAATAAAAAGACATTTCTAAAAATATGATAAAATTGGGAGAACACTTTAGGTTGCGTTTGGTAGAGTTTTCTGAATATGATTTGAGAATATAATTGTATTTTGAGTTTGTGAGTTTTTGAATTATGATTTGAGTGTGGAAAATTTGTTCGGTGAATGAGTTTTAAAAAGAGTTTTAAATAAAGTAGAGAATTTTTGATGTGACATATGATATTTGATACAAAAACTTACAACTCATAACCAAATACACAACTCAAAATTCTATTTAAAACTCATAAAAAAATTTAAAAATTCAAAATATATTTTTTATTGAATATATAAAAATTAACATGCATTAATTGCAAATAAAAAATAAAAAATAAATTCAATGTTTCGGTCAACCAGCCGGACGTCCGGTGGGATGATCCGGTTAGCCCAAATTTTCCCGCCTTTTAAGCATGGAATTAATTTTTGAAAATCGTAAACAAACATCATGTGCAAATCAAGCTCTAGAACTAACGTTCCAGAACTCTACCAAACAGAGCCTTAGTCTTTCAGATTGACCAATCATTTTTCTCTATCAGTCCATTTTAGATTGGCCAATCATTTTTTAGATTACTGCTTTTATCAATTTTAATATATCTTAGGATTAGTTTTATATTTTTTGAATCATAACTATAAAAAATAATAATAATAAAGTCAAAACCAAATATTAGATAAGAGATAACCAAAGATCTTATGAGTCATAATTAAAATATTATCATAACTAAAGAAGAAAATTAATCATAACTAAAAAAGAAAATGACATAATTAAGAGTGCATATGATACACCTCTTTCAATGGGTGTGTATAATAGAATTTCTCCTTAACATGTATTCTCTATTTTATCTATATAGTAAAATTTTCTTTTGTGAAGGTAAATAATTAGTTTCAAAATGTGTAAATCTATTTAATTTTTCTCTTTCGTGTATGTGTAGTGTGTTTGTGTTTGCATTTAGGGAATATAAATAAAGAGTGATGCTACATCCACACAGATTTTGTTAGCCCAAAACTGCCCTGAATGACTAGGTACGATGATGTGGCGATGATGTGAAATAAAATAATATTTTTTACACATGATGTGGATTTTTTTTAAAAATAATAATATTTGCAATAAAAATAGAAAATACTGATTATTTATAAAATTATCTTAAGATTTTGCTTTTCCATATCCATCTTGCTTCATTTGTTGCGAATACTTTCGACGAGTAAACAGAAGAGTAATCTCTCACTCTCGATGAATATTACTCTACTTGAATCACTACTCTCTGATCTCTAGAAAATTAAAAGGCAGTAGACAAAGTATATATGGAAATAAAAAACTTTTATTGAATACTTGAAAACTACAATGTTTACAAGAAAGATAGAGAGAATACTCTTGTACACTTATAAGACTCTGCTTCTTGACTCTACTTCTACAAGACACATCACACCTTTTTATAGGCAAAGAGTAGACTTCAACTTCGGAATTGAAATGCATGAAATTAAAAGATAAGGTTCTTGTAACAAGAGAAGAAACCTTTTACATTTTGATTTATTGAAACTAACAAAGTTAGTGGTAGTATCTCCACCACTTTGATTTTATTCAAGATGTGACTTCTTTGTCTTTATTCACTATATGATCCACTTTGTTATGTCTCCTTAGCTGTATCTGTCATATGATCTTTCTTTTGGCTTCTTCTGTCATGTGAGCCTTCTTTGGCCTTATTCTTCATATGACTTGTCTAAAACATTCCTGTCTTTTTTGGCTTGATTTGTCATATGAACATCTGCTCATTTTTCAAAACTATAGAGGTCCATGTCCTGTATTGATTCAGAGTAAATTTGGGCTCTCTTCATGATTTTGTAGAGTTCTGAAACAGCTACAGACATGTCTGGTGCTTCAATTATCTCTTCTTGGAGCATCTTGAGTATTTTCTTTGCTTTGTCTTCTCCTAGCTTGGCGGCTTTCAATGCAATGAAGACTTGGTCGATTCTTACCACCACGACTCTCTTCCTATCATAGTAGATTGCTTCTGAATGTTGGAAAAGAGTTTCCAATGTGTTATCGAAAAACAAGATCTTATCAATTTTGTTGATTATAGAATCATATCCCTTCTATGATCTTTCTTTTTTACCATGGTAGAAAGGATTTCTACTAGTTATTGAGTATAGATACCAGATCTGATATGGTTAATTCTTTCAGCCAAAGTAGACACGATTTGTACCGTAATAAGCATCGAGCTTGCTACTATAATTGTAATAACATATTTAACTATTTATGGAAATTCATTTAAGAGCTGAAAATCATCTTTCAAAAATCAATAATTCCCAGTTCAATCTAGTGCATATTGATTTTATCTATTGATAACTTAAGACTTAGCCAACCATAATCCCAATTTAAGGATTCTACTAAGGATGGCATATGAAGTTTTTTTTCGTGTTCATCTTGTGTTTTAGCAATTTGTTTAGTTTTCTTAGCAAGCTCTTTTGGAGGAAAAAAAAAACATATATATTTCTTTTTAAAAAAAATTATTTTTTCGTCATTGCAAATGGTGTTAGGTTCATTTTCTAGAAACCCAACATAATCAGTAAGAGAGCTGATAATTATACGCTTATCTTTTCATTTATTGTTGCGTAGAGCAAACCAAATTTCTTTGAAAAGTTTGTTAGTTTCTAGTGCTAGTCCAGGATTATAAAATGATTTTTCGATTATAAAAGGGATTTCTGCTATATCTATATCTTCGAGTTCGGATGTTTACTCACTTTTTCACTTCTTTGATGATTCTCCTTTTAAGAATCCCTTTGAACTTTTTGGTTTAAAGTTCGAATTTTTTCTCTTTGCTATTTCGCGGTTTCAACCGTATGCACTTTGTAGTTGAAGAATTTTTTAAATCCTTGCACCAATAGTTTTAAGCTTTATGACTTGGTGTCACGACCCCATCCGGTCCTAAACAGGATAATAGTAATGACTGGCTAATAGTATCTGACTACCAAAGGCCTGGCAAGATAAGACAAGACTAAAACAATAACATTGGGGCATATGCGGAAATATTTGTCTAATAATTACAAAGAATCCATTCAGAGCATGTGCATAAGTCATATGAAACAAAACAAGCAAGCTTCTCATTTTTATTATCTTTGACATTTACAAGTCCCACAACAAAAGAAAAAGTACAACATTAACAAACATACTCCTAACAAAAACCAAAACATACATACAAGACTGTCATCTATAAACCACCACTCCCAAAAGTACAAAAAAAACCCCCCCCCCAAAAAAAAAAAAAAAAAAAAAAAAAAAAAAAAAAAAAAGACTCCTAGCTTGACCCTTCTTCTTGAATTTGTTCTTCATCATCACCTACATACATATAGGGGAGATGGTGAGCCAAAGCCTAGTGAATAGTAATACAGTAGAGTGGTAATGAATGAACACCAATGATTTTAATAAAATCAATCACAAGATCATATTTTGAACATAATATAGTTTAATCGAGGCAAAACAAGTTTAACTTGCAAACCTATATATATCAATGATCATTCCAAGGCCTTCACATCAAGAATCCACAACAGGTGGCTAGAAGAGCTTAGTTAGTTAGAGGTTATTAGCATGATTCTCAGTAACAAGCAAATACCAAGATGTCATCTTATAATGCATGATATAAGAACATAGGATGTTGTAGACGTCCCCGAACGCCCCGGAGGAACGAGCTCTCCCGTTCTGTTCGATATTGGGCTCACTACAGTTCAGGACTCTCAAATTGTCACGGTTCTTAATCTGAACCAAAGAATCCAAATCCGGCAAATCGTTTTGAGAAAACAGATTTTTAGAAAAGAAGTATCAAACATGGACTGCTTTGCCAGATACAGAGTCGCCACCTAAATATTTTATTTTGGGAAATTTAGGAAACCCTGACTCGTTGCCTAAGGCCACGTGTCCGTCATCACCAAAGTTGCCTTGGCTCGAGAACTTGGGTACGATTGGGGAAGGTCACTTCGTGAGCACCCCCGCTCGCCCGATCAAAGATCGGCCTCTACTAACCATGATATCTATTTTTGAAAAACATTGTGTGTTCTTATTCCGGTTATTAGCCTAGATTTACTATTGATGCGCACAGCATACAAG